GGTGGCCGCACTCGTGGAGTTCTCGGGTGGGTGAGCGGGGGGACAGTGTGGGAAAGGGGGGAGAAGGGGAAAAGAGGGGCTGGGACCCTAAAAAGGAGCGCGAGGGGCGGTGGGTCACCCCCAGATGGAGCCAGGAAGGAGCTGGGGTTTGGGGGAACGATGCGAAAGGGATGGGAGAGGGGGCATAAGGGGAGGTGGGACAGCGGGAAAGGGGGTCCCTTGGTGTCCCCATCCCTTGGTCCCTGGAGAGGAGAGAGCCTGGAGAGAGGGACCCCCGCGGTGGGGGCCGCGCTGTTGGTTGTGAATTCCCGCCGGGATCAACAAAGCCCCGCACCCGTGGCCGCAGCTCTTGTGTTTTCTTGTGGGCAGCACTCGCAGGAGCTCCCCCCACACTGCCCAAGCGCTGCCAGGCACTGCTGCCAAGGCCCAGCAGAGCCCCCCGATACCCCCAGTGCCCCCCAGAGATGCGTGCGGGGGGTGGGAGAGAAGAGGAGAGCCGGGCTGGGCCCGGGGCAAGGCCGGGAAGGGGCAAGGAATGGCCCCGGGGCTGGGCTGGCGTTGGTGCTGCCGCGGGGCTGGGCCGGAGCTGGGAAACAGGGCCGGGAGCGAGAGGAGAGAGAAAGTGCTGCGGGACTGCAGAGCCGAGCCCCGGCTGGCTCTGGGGGCTCTGGGTTGGGGTTTTGGGGTTGTTTTTTGCGGGAGAGGAGGTTTGGATCTTGCAGACGCCCAAAGCTGAGGCGCAGGTGAGCCCTGGGGGGATGTTGGGGGTCCCCGGGAGGTGTTTTTGGGGTTGCCAGCGGTGCGCAGGAGGCTTCGGGTCCCCCCCGCGCTGGGGGTTGGTGTTCCTGGGTCAGGCCCTTCATTGTCAGCCCGGAGCACGGAGAGGGGGGACCCCTGGGAGCCCGAAACGGGGAGCCCGGAGAGGGGGAACCCTCGGGACCCCAAAGTGGAGAGAGCAGAGAGGAGGAACTCGTGGGAGGGTTTTTTGGGCTGAGTCGTGGGGGTGCTGGGGAAGGGGGTTCCCGGGGGTGCCGGGGCCAAGGAAAGCGGGGTACAGAGATTGGGGAGGGGGATGGAGGGTCAAGGGGGACCCTGTGCCCAGGAAAGGAGGATCCAGAGGTCCTCAGTGTCGGGGAAAGGGGGGGGTCACAGGGTAGGGAGACACAGAATGGCGGGAAAGGGGGTTCAGGGGGCTCCTCAGTGCTCAAAACACAGGGGTCTGGTGTTTGGGAAAGGCAGGAATGGGAGTCCAGGGGGTCCCTGGGTCAAGGTTAAAGGGGACCTGGGGGCTGGAAAAGGTGGGGTGTCTGGGAAAGGGGGTGCAGGAGGTTATTGCTGCAGGATTAGGGGATGTAAGGGTGTCCCAGAGCTGGAAAATGGGGTGCTGGGGGTTCCTGTGGCCAGGAATGGGGGCTCAAGGGGAGTCCCAGAGTTAAGGAAAGAGGGGAAATGTAGGGAGTAGCACTAGACTGGGTCTAGAGGGTCCCTGTGCCCAGCAAAGGGGGGTCCAGGGGCCTCCAGTGTCAGGGAAAAGTGGTTCATTGCATGGGGAGACCCGGGATATCCCAGCAGGGGGTTCAGGGAGTCCTGGGTGTTGAGGAAAGGGGGGTTGGGGAGTGGGAGAGGTGGGACTGGGGTTCCGGGGGGTGCCAGGGTCAAGGCAAAGGGAGTGTGGATCCTGGGAGAGGTGGGATGGCTGGGGAAGGGGGTGCAGGGGGTCCTGGTCCCAGATAAGGGGCTGCAGGGGGGGGGGGTCTCAGTGCACAGGAATGGGGGGTTCAGGGAGTCCCTGGGACACCCCAGGACCCCCCTGTAGGAAGCACTGGGAGTGGGGAACTGGGGAGACCCAGAGGTTTGGGGGTTGGGGTGGTCCCAAGGTGAAGGAAAGGGTGGAACAGGGAGAACTGGGAGAGCCGGGAAGGGGCTGCAGGGGGTGCTGGGGGGAAGGAAAGGGGGACTGGGGATGAGGTGACCTGGGATGGTCGGGAATGGGGGCTAAGGAAAAGGGGGATCCAAGGGCTGGGAGAGGCAGGATGACCAGGAAAGGGGAGGCAGGGGGTTCCTGGAATCAAAGAAAGGGGCTCTGGAGGCTGGAAAACTGGGAATGGCCTGGCAGAGGATCCCAGTGCAAGGGAAAAAGGGGTGCAGGGGGATCCCAATAATAATAGGGAAGTGCAGGAGCAAACAATAGGATGAGGCTCCAAAGTGCTGATTTCCAGCAGCAGGAAGGTGGGGAAAGGGCAGGGAAGTGTCCCCAGGGAATGGGATCCTGGAGCATATCTACTGGTCAGGGCCAGAGTGGGAACTGGGAACAAGGAGTTTGGGAATTCAGAGCAGTGGGAGGGGAGTTACCCTGCCCATCCTGCACTTCCTAGAGCCCAGTAACCCCCAGTATAAGCCCTGTCACCTCCAGTATGAGCCCAGTTGCTCCCACTATATCCTACTTGCCCACCACATGATCCAAATTAGCCCCAGTGTAGTGCCGGCAACTCCCAGTGTGAGTCCAGTATGATCCCAGTCTCCCTCAGCAGGGTGCCAGACACTGCCAGTTGCCCCCAGTGTAGACCCAGTCAGTCCCAGTTAATCCCAGTTGCTGCCTGTGTGGTCCCACTCAGCACCAGTATGGTTACAGATACTCCCAGTGTGGGCTCAGTTTCTCCCAGTATGATTCCAGCTGCCCCAACTGTGGTCCCAGTCCCCCCAGCATGGTTCCAGTATCTTCCAGTTGATGCCAGTTTGCTCCCAGCATATGCCAAGAGGCTCCCAGTAACCCTCAGTAAGGTTCCATTCACACCCACTGTAATCCCAGTAACTCCCAGTATGGCCCCAGTTAGCTCCAGTATGATCCCAGTCTCTTCCTGCCATTCCCAGAATGAAGCCAGTATCATGCCAGTTCCTTCCAGTCTCTCCCAGTATATGCCAGTCTCCCCCAGCATGCTCCCAGTCGCTCCCAGTTACTTCCAGCGTGATCCCAGTTGCTCCCAGTCACCCTCATTGTCATCCCAGTCACTCCCAGTTTGACCCAGTCACCTCGAGCACTGTTTCAGTTGTTCCCAGTATGTCCCAGTTGCCCCCACAATGGTCCCAATTGCCCCCAACCTGCTCTTTGTCCCTGCCAGTATGATTTCAGCTGCCCCCAGCATGGTCCCATTTGCTTCCTGTTCCTCCCAGTGTGGTCCCAGTTGCCCCAGGCATAGCCCCAGTCACTGCCAGTATGATCCCAGTCTCTCCCAGCAGGTTCCCAGTCACACCCAGTTGCCCCCAGTATAGACCCAGTCACTGCCTCTTGCTGCCAGTTGCCCAGGCATGGTCCCAGTTGCTCCTGATTTGACCCCAGTCATTCCCAGTATGGTTACAGCCAGTCCCAGGATGGCCCAGGAGGCTGCAGGATGCACCCAGTCCTTCCCAGTTATTCCCAGTTGCTTCCAGCATGATCCCAGTTTCTCTGAGTTACTCCCAGTAGCCCCAAGTGTGGTCCCAGTTGTGGTTCTAGTGCCTCCAGCATGGTTCCAACCTGACCCCAGTTACCCCCAGCCTACTCCTTGTCACTCCCATTATGATCCCCGTCTCCCCCAGCTGCTCCCAGTGTGATCCCAGTATGACCCCTGCTGCCCCCAGCATGGTTCCAGTGTCTCCCTGTTCCTCCCACTGGGATCCCAGTTGCACCCAGGTGCTCCCAGTCTAGTCCCAAGCAGTCCTAGTATGACCCCAGACTCTCCCAGCACAGTCCCAGTTTTCCTCCAGTATGGTTACAGACACTCCCAGCATGGTCCCAGTGTGTCCCAGTCTCTCCCAGTACAATCTCAGGATGATCCCAGTGTGGCCCAGTCTCTCCCAGAACAATCTCAGGATGATCCCAGTGTGGCCCAGCCTCTCCCAGTATGATCTCAGGATGATCCCAGTGTGGCCCAGTCTCTCCCAGTATAATCTCAGGATGATCCCAGTGTGGCCCAGTCTCTCCCAGTACAATCTCAGGATGATCCCAGTGTGGCCCAGTCTCTCCCAGTATAATCTCAGGATGATCCCAGTGTGGCCCAGTCTCTCCCAGTCCGATCTCAGGATGATCCCAGTGTGTCCCAGTGGCTCCCAGGATGATCCCAAAGCTCCTGGAACACCTGGAGGCCCCACCCAGGGGAGGTCCCTGCAGGTTCTGTGGCTGCAGAAGAGCCCCCAGGAGCCGAGGTCCCCCCAGAGCCCCCCAGGCAGCAGAAGGGGGGGACAACTCTCCAGCCCGGGGTCCCGGGAGCACCGGGGGGTCTCCAGCCCGACCCCCCAGCCAGGGGCTCCCACAGCCCCTCCTGCTGCCCCCAAAATCCCTGGGGATCCCCCATTGTCCATCTCTGCATTCCCCCCTCCAAGATCTCCAGGCTCCTCAGATGAGTCCAAAGGGGTGGAAGTGCCCACCTGGTGGGGGCCCAAACCCCGAATTTTGGTCTCCAGCCACCCCTTTTCCCTCTTTTCCTGTTCTTTTGGCCTTCCTGGGGGGAGTCTCAGGACCCTGAAGAGCCCAGAGAGGGCCCTGGAAAGGCAGGATCCCTAGGATCCCCATCAGCCTGGTAAGGGGGGGAACCCAGAGAGGGAAGCCCTGGGGACCCAGAGCCCCCGAGCAGAGTCAGGGGAGAAGAGACCCCTGTGACCCTCCCAACCCCTGGTATCCCTAAGCAAGGGTACCCTGGATAGGGAGGTCCCCCAGAACCCTGAAGTTGGGAGATGGGGGAGCCTTGGATTCCTGGGACCCCCAGCAGCCTGGAGAGGGCAGGGACCCCATAGAGGGGAGACCCCAAATACACACGAGACTCCCAGGGGATCCTAGGGGGGACCTACAGAATCCCACAGTGGAGAGATCAGAGAGGAGGAGCTCCTGCATGATGTGTTTTGGGCTGAATCTTGGTGTTTTGGAGGTTTTTATGGTCCCAGGATTCCCGGTGAGTTCTAGAGATGGTCTTGGGCAGGAGGAACCCCCAAGCCAACGCGCTCAGCCCTTGTTTCCCCCTCAGCAGGATTTGTCCATCCCAAAGCTTGGGCGGATGGAGGAGGAGGCTGAGAGGAAGAGGAAAAAGCCATGGACCCCCCAGGCAGGTGAGGAGGAAGTCAGTGCCCCTTTGGCCCTGTCTTGTGGTACACATGGGGGCCAAATTTGGGGGGGGATGTCCTTGGCCTTCCCTCTGGGCTGGAGGCAAATCCCCTGCCTGTCCTTCCTTCCTGCCCCAGGCCCCGAGCTGAGGACGGAGAGCACGGAGGACAAATCCCCCCGGCAGAGCCTGGTGGGAGAGGCCGTTTTGAAGGGCTCCCCGGCGCAGGAAGGCAGCGGGGAGGAAAAGGCCCGGAGATGCCCCCGGAGGAGGGGCTGCAAAGCCAGCCCAGGGAACTCTGAGGAGGAAAGACCCGTCCTGTGCCGGGAAGGCGGCCGGAGCTTGAGCCGGAGCTCCGAGCTGGTGGTCCCTGAGCAGCTTCCCAGCAGGGAGAAGCCCTTCAGGTGCTTGGAATGTGGGAAGAGCTTCAGGAAGAGCTCCAACCTCCTCAGGCACCAGCATATCCACACTGGGGAACGACCCTACACGTGTAGGGAATGTAGAAAGAGCTTCAGGAGCATCTCCAACCTGATCCAACACAATCTCATCCACACTGGGGAACGGCCCTACACATGTGGGGAGTGTGGGAAGAGCTTCAGGCACAGCTCCACCCTGATCCAACACCAGCACATCCACACTACGACCCTACAAGTGCTTGGAATGTGGGAAGAGCTTTAGGCACAACTCCACTCTGATCCAACACCAGGTCATCCACACTGGGGAACGGCCCTACCCGTGTGGTGAATGTGGGAAGAGCTTCAGGCAATGCTCCCACCTGATCAACCACTGGCGCATCCACACTGGAGAACGGCCCTACAAGTGCTTGCAATGTGGGAAGAGGTTTCAGAGCAGCTCCAATCTCCTCCTGCATGAGCAGATACACACAGGGGAGAGGCCCTTCCGCTGCACCGACTGTGGGAAGGGCTTCAACTGGAATGACAACCTCGTCATCCACCGGCGCATCCACACCGGGGAGAGGCCCTACAAGTGTGGGGAGTGTGGGAAGAGCTTCAGCCACAGAGGTAACTTGACCTCCCACCAACGGACCCACAGGTAATGGAAGCCCCACGAGTGCCCCGACTGCGGGAAGAGCTTTGGCTGCTGCTCCCACCCTGAATGACCCCCTGATGGTGAGGCAACCCCTGGAGTCCAGTGACTGTCAGTCCATCCCTTTCTACCAGAAAGGGCCAGTCCCCTTTGCCAGGGGCAGGTTGTGCCAACAGAAGTCTTCTTGGGGGGTGTGTGGAGATTCCTGCCTTTGCTGGGACCCCCTAAGGTCACTGCTGGAGGTTGAGAGCAGAGATCTCCCCCCGAGCGTTGGTCTGGGGGAGTTCCATCCATCTCTAATTCATAATTCTTGCTTTGGTGCCAGCTTGAGTAGAATTGCTTCAACAATTGCTTTAGTGTAGAGCACTGTCCTATTTTATCCTGTACTAATGGTAGTTTTAGTGTTTCTATTTTGCAGTAAATAATTCTGATGAAGTTCTTTTTTCTGATCATTTGTAACCCTAAAGAATTCATTTCTATCAATAGATGTGATTTGCCATCCTTAAAACCTCGGGGACGAAAGTGTTTCTGTCCCACCTCTGTAATTCCTCTAAACTGAAAGTGTTGGCATAACCCAAGGCTGAGATTGGATCCAGCAGCCCCCAACACCCAACAGTAATTTGGGAGCTCAGGGGAGCCACCCCCCTTTTTCAGCCCTGTGTGCCCAAAGACCCCCATGGGACTGTTGGATCTGCCAGACCAATCCCCTTTTCCACCCTTCTCCCTGTTCTTCCCACTTTTCTATGGTCCCCTCAATCCACATTCCCCCCAGGATCACTCTCGGTATCCCAACCCCCACATTTTTCCCTCCTCTCCCACCCCTTCCACATCATCCCCCCACTCCTCAGCCCCCTCATGCTCAGTTTGGGGGTCCCACCCTGCCCTTTCCCCACTCTTTTTACGTCTGCCACCCATTTCCCATAAGCCTCAGTGTCCCCCCCTCTGCTTTTGGGGGTTCCCACTCCTCTCCCACTCATTTTGGGGTCCCACCAACCCTTTTATCCCCTCTGACCCTTCTTTTCCCACTGACCTCCCCCTTCCCACCCTCCGCTCACCCGAGAGCTCCGCGCCCGCAGTCGGGGGGGCTCCCAGCACCACCAGTGCCCAGAGAAACTCCCCAGAAAAGGGGTTGGGTGGGGTCCTGGGTGGGCTTTGAATGTGTTTGTGGTCCTTGAGGGGCTGTGGGGAGGATTTGGGGGATCCCAGCACCTTTTGGGGTGAACTGGGTGCCTTTTGAGGGGCCGGTTCCTTCCCAAAGCTCCCCCAGAGCGGGGTGACACGGGGGGAACACAGGGGGGTCCCCATTCCCGATCCATCCCAGGGCCGGTTCTGACCCCCCAAACTCGGCTCCACACCTTGGGACCCTCTGATTCCCCCCCAGTGTCCCCCAGTAACCGGGACTGGGGAGAACTGGGAAGCTTTGCTGGGATCACTGGGAGCAGCCGGGTGGAGGCAGAGTGACAGCAGGGGAGGGGGGACACACGACCCCCCAAAATCCTCATGGACATGGGGGGGGTCCAGGCTGTGCCCGAGGCCCCGGGGAGGGGCTGTGACTGCCACCGGCTCAGGAGCTCTGTGGGGAGAGAAAAGGGGGTGACAGCGGGGTGGGGGGACAGGGGGGACACCGGGATACACCCAGAGCTGGACTGGACCCAGCGGGACCAGAACTGGGGCAACTGGGATCATACTGGGAGTGACTGCAGTAATACTGGGAGTGTGTGAGAGGGACTGCAGCCATACTGGGGATGAGTGGGATCAAACTGGCTTTGTACTGGAAGTGTCTGGAAGTTCCTGGGATCATACTGGGGGTGACTGCGATCCTACTGGGATCAGACTGGGATCAGACTACGATCATACTGGGAGCAACTGGTTCTATGCCAGGGGAATCTGGGAGCTCCTAGGATCCCACTGGGAGGAACTGGGAGAAACTGGGGCCATGCTGGGCGCAACTGGGGCTATGCTGGGCACAACTGGGATCATAATGGGAGCAACTGGGCCCACAGTGAAGGTGTCTGGGGTCATACTGGGAGTGACTGAGAGCATTCTGAGGGCAGTTGGGACTGTGTTGGCCCAACTGGGATATATTGGGAGCAAGTGGGATCATGCTGGCGGTGACTGGGACCACACTGAGAGTGACTGGGAGTGGCTGTGAGCAACTGGGATCATGCTGGAAGCTACTGGGAGGAACTGGGAGTGAGTGGGGCCACACTGGGGGCAACTGGGATATACTGGGAGAGACCAGGAGTGACTGGGATCATACTGGGACTGTCTGGGAGCAGGCTGAGGTTGACTGGGAGAGACTGGGAGTGACAGGGATCCTACTGGGAGGGACTGGAACTGTAATGGGTGAGTGGGAGCAATTGGGACCCTGCTGGGGGCAAATGGCTTTATACTGGGAGTGACAGGGAACGTCTGGGTTCATCCTGGCTGTGACTGCCACCATAGAGGGTGTCACTGGGATCATACTGGGAGGGACTGGAACTACAGTGGGCTCACTGGGGAGCAACTGGGACCATGCAGGGAATAACTTGGATCCTACTAGGAGAGACTGGGATCATACTGGGACTGACTGGGAGCATACTGGAGGCAACTGGGAGTGGCTGGGAGGGATTGGGATCATTCTGGGAGTGACTGGAACCATAGTAGGGGTGAAGGGGAGCAACTGGAACCATGTTGGGGCAACTGGGATCATAGTGGGAGCAGCTGGGCTCCTACTGGTATCCCACTGGGGTCATACTGGGAGTGACTACAATAATACTGGGAGTGTGTGGGAGGGACTGCAACCATACTGGGGATGAGTGGGATCAAAGTGAATTTGTACTGGAAGTGTCTGGAAGTTCCTGGGATCATACTGGGGGTGACGAGACTCATGCTGGGATCCTCATGCTGGGAGCAACTGGGACCATGCCAGGGGCAAATGGCATCATCCAGGTTGTGCCTGAAAGTGCCTGGGGCCATCCTGGACTCAGACTGGGAGTCTCTGAGAGGGAAAGGAACCATCCTGGGGGGGCTGGGAGCAACTGGGACCACCCTGGGGGCACCTGGGATCCAACTGGGAGTGACTGGGGTCATAGTGGGAGTGACCAACACCATACTGGGATCATAGTGGGAGTGACTGTAAGGGACCAGGATCAAACTGGGAGCTACTGGAACTATGCAGGGGGAAGTGGGAGCCAGTGGGGCTGTGCTGGAAGCAACTGGGAACATTCTTGGAGCAACTGAGATTGTGCTGGAAGCAACTGGGAAAAACTGGGAGTGACAGGGTGCATGCTGGAGGCAACTGGCATGAACTGGGAGTGACTGGGATCACACTGATGGGAACTGGGACCATCCTGGGGCAAATGGAAGTCACTGGGTGTCAGGGGTTTCTGTGGGTGGGTTTTGGTAGCTGGGGGGTCTCCAGGGGTGGCTTCTGTTGGAAGCTGCCAGAAGCTTCCCCTGCCCCGTGGAGCCAATGCCAGCTGCTCCAGGATGGACTTGCTGCTGCTGGCCAAGGCCGAGCCCATCAGGAGCAACAGGAACAGCTCTGGGATAACAGATTTAGGGCCAGAAGGAATTGCAGCCAGGGAAGAGTGGAGTGGGAATGTGGGAACAGCAATGCAGACCCAAAGGGTGGGGCAGAAGGAGGGGCAGGAGGTGCTTCAGGCCCTGCAGCCCCTGGGGGAGCATCGGGGTGCAGAGACCCCCCTGCAGCCCCTGGAGGCTCCCACGCTGGAGCAGGGGGATGCAGGAAGGAGGCTGTGACCCCGTGGCAGGCCAAGGATGGAGCAGGTCCTGGCAGGGACCTGCAGCCTGTGCAGAGGGAAGCCCAGGCTGGAGCAGGTTTTTCCCGGCAGGACTCGTGGCCCCTGTGGGGGACCCACGCCGGGTCAGCTCATCCCTGAAGGACTGACCCCATGGAGGAGGGACCCACGGGACAGCAGGGTGGGAAGAGCTGCTGCCGGAAGGGTGGACTCACTGGAGAGGTCCATCCAGGACTGTCTCCCATGGGAAGGAACCCCACGGGAGCAGGGAAGGATCCAACTCCTCTCCCTGAGCCGTGACAGAAACAACAACTGACTGTAACCCTCATCCTGTCCCCCTGCACTGCTGGGGGGAGGAGGGAGAACGTAGAAGGAGGGATGGAGGGAAGGTGTTTTTCAGACTGTTTTATTTCTCACTCTTTGGCTTTTATCCTGTTAGAAATAAATTTAGGTACTATCCCTACTTTGAGTCTGTTTTGCCCATTAGTAAGTGACCTTCTCCCCACCCTTTTCTCTATTCAGGAATCCTCAGCTGCTTTTTTCTCTGTGGAGTTGCAGAGGCAGGGAGAGGTAGCATTTTTTAGTGGGTGCTTGAAATCTAGCCAAGATCGCCCCACTAAACCAACCCATGTTGTTGAGGCCCTTTTGTGATGTCACAGCCCACCCTCTCAGTTCCGGAATAGCCCTTGGCAACCAAAGAACCAACACCCCACAAGGTCAGAATGCAGGCCCACCCATGTGCCCCTTTGTGATGTCCCAGCCCATCCTCTCCATTCTGGAATAGCCCCTGGAAACCAAAGAACCAACGCCCCACACCCCCACAGTGCAGCCCCACCCATCTGCCGTGGAACTCCTTGTGATGTCACGGCCTTTCCCCCAGGAAAGAAAGCCTGTAACCTTTGGGTTTCAGGTGCAGTTTGTTGGCCACCCTGGGCACTCCATGGGCAGCAAGAGCTTTCTGTCCTGCCTCCTTTTGTCTGGCAGGAATCTTTGTCCAGATTCCAATTTGG